AGTTTAGCAACGGATGGAATAGTGAAGACTTGTTGGGCATAATGGTACCCACCTTCAGTCCCAGCACTTAGGAGACAGAGGCAGGCAGAAGGGAAGGAAGGGAAGGGAAGGGAAAGGAAGGGAAGGGAAGGGAAGGGAAGAGAAGAGAAGAAGGGAAGGGAAGAAGGGAAGGAAAGGGAAGGGAAATAAAGGGAAGGGAAATAAAGGGAAGGGAAGGGAAAGGGAAAGGGAAGGGAAGGGAAGGGAAGGGAAGGGAAGGGAAGGGAAAGGGAAAGGGAAGGGAAGGGAAGGGAAGGGGAAAGGGAAGGACGAAGGAAGGAAGGAAGGAAGGAAGGAAGGAAGGAAGGAAGGGAGGGAGGGAGGGAGGGAGGAAGGAGAGGGAGGGAGGGAGGAAGGAAAGAAAGAAGGAGAGGGAGGGAAGGAAGGGAACTCATAAAAACACATGAAAGGATTGAAGTTGTCATAACCCACAAACAGCCCTCAGGCCCTTCATCTCCAACTGTATGAAAAAAGGACCAGCATAATGTCCAACTGTGTGAAATTTCAACTGGATTTGAACTTGAGAAACGATTTTTCAGGTGTTTACTAGGCACCAAGCCTGAGAATATTAAATATTTCTATCAAATATTTCCTTCAGTTTTCACAGCAAACGCCATGCCGGAAGCATCACTGGTGGCCCCATTTTCACTCCTAAGGAGACAGAGTGCTTGTGTGTTCTTAGGTGAGCTTCTAGAACCAGTGAGAGTAGACTGCGAATGAGCTCACACGGGCAGTTGCCGTGGTTACCTGATGAGGAGCCGTTGGCATCAGAATTTGAATCCCTGTCTTTCTGACTGCACAACCTGTGCTGTTAATCGTCTCATTGCCCTGGCCATCTTGACCAGCAATCTATTTTATCGGCGAGCTGAAGTTAATTCATTGCCCGGATTCCTTCCTGAGCCTCCCACACTGGCTCATTAATAAAGATCAGAGGAGTACGTGCCGAGTGTATGTGGGTCCAATATCTTATTATTCTTGGTCTTCCCCCATTAAAAGTGACCAGAACAGGGGTTGGGGTGTAGCTCTGTGATACAGCACTTCCCAGTATATATGAGTCTCTGGGTTGAGTCACCACTACATAATAAAGTAATTAATGGCATGAGAACCTGAGTTTGATCACCCAAAGTCCACATCTAAAACACTGGTTGTAGTGGTCTTCACTTCTAATCCCAGCACTGGGGGAATGGAGGCCTTTGGATCCCTGGGGCTCACTGGCCAGCCAGCCTCGCCGAAGATGAGAGAAAGCGATGGCGAGAGCAGCTGAGGGAAACATCCAGGGTTGGCCCCTGGCCCCCACACACATGTGCACATAACCACATACTTACATCATAGAAGAGAGTGATGCTGACCAAGCCCGGGAATGGTTAGAGGAATCTTCGTTAACTAACTTAGTTAAGACTTAAGACAATTCTTTTTCCTTTCAAAACAGAGGAAAAATACCTCGGCGACCGTGTCAGGGTGTCCCAGTCCTTTCATGAATAAAATGTGTGCTGTCTGTTCTTCCTCGTCATTTTGATTCAGATAGTGAGATCTTTCAGTTTAGAAACACTCACCATTGGAGTTGGGGCTGTAGCCATGGAGATGTGCACCATCTAGAGTGTCCCTGTTAGACGCTGGTCTTCTGAAGGGCAGACTTAAGCCCATACAACATGGCCAGTTTTCCCTGGAAGAGTTAAGCCTTAGCACCGAATGTTTTCTTTTGCCCAGTTTTCGCAGGAGTGTCTGTGTGGATGTATGTGCACACATATGTTTACAGGCGTGTGCACCCGTGTGAGTTTGTGCTGAGGCTGGAGGAGGACAGCAGATGTCCTACACTGTCATACGCAGTCTTATTCCCTTGAGACGGGGTCTCTCACTGAACCTGGAGCTAGGCTGGGGCCATCCAGCCTCAGCACCTTTCTCCATCGCACACGGTGCTGGGGTTGCAGGAATGTGTGACCTCACCCAGATTCTTATCTGAGGGTTCAGGCTCAGGTCCTCTTACTCACAGGGCAAGTGCTGTTACTCACTAGGTCCTCTCCCCGGCCCTTGAATGCCTTCTTGTCTTGTGTTTCTCCCTTCTGTGGTAAAGAATTCTATAAGGATGGAGTGGAAATAATATGAAATCCTCAGAAAGAAAGAAGAGAGGGGAGTCAGAGAGAGCCTGGGGGGAGGGGCAGAGGAAGAGAGATGCGGGGGGACACAGTGGCGGATCAGTAGAAAAAGCAAGTTGGTACAGATGAGGTGTGTGTCAAGACTGTTAGTAGGCAGAAGCCTTTGGTGAGTTTTCTCTACCTGGATTGTTGCCACCCGATCCTTAGATGTGCTCTGTGCGCTTCATACATGTGCTTCACTGTGCCCTCACAGGTATTGAGTACACAGGAAGCAAGAGAAAAACTCCTTACTGACAGCCGACAGAAAACTGTCACTTCAGTGTTTCAAAGGCAAGCATCAGTTCCTGTCGTCTTAATTGGCGTGACAAGAAAACTTGTTGCCAAGAAATAGTGAGGTAGCCAGGCAGTGGTGGCGCACACCTGTAATCCCAGCACTCAGGAGGCAAAGGCAGATGGATCTCTGTGAGTTTGAGGCCAGCCTGGTCTACACAGGGAATTCCAAGACAGCCAGGAAGACACAGAAAAACAGTCACGAAGAAGGAAAACAAGAAAAAGAAAGAAATGATGTCGTGTTTGCTGGTGGTGTAATCATCCTGGGAAGTTAGTGAGCGAGGCTTGGGAGAATTAGGCCCAAGTGTTCCTTATTTCACCTGTGTGTGTATATGCACACTCGTGTGTTCATATCTATGAGTGCAGGTACATGAATGCCACAGTCTGCATGTAGAAGTCAGACAAAAACCTCAGCTATCCATCCTTACCTCCAACCTTGTTTGAGATAAGGTCACTATTGTTCACCATTGCATAATCCCAACTAGCTGGCCTTCAGGATCAAAGGAGTCTCCCTTCTCTGCCTCCAGTCTCACTGTAGGAGCCTGGGATTACAAAGTGTGCTACAGCATCCAGTTTGGTGTGTGCTTTGGGGATCTAAATTCAGGTTCTGATGCTTGTACTGCAAGCACTGAGCCCTCTCCCCAGCCTCCCCCCCCCCCATGTGTTTCTCTGTACTGAGATGCTCTGGTGCCAATAGTGCTCAATTGTTGGTGCAAATGATTATTCAGATATAATTAAGCTTAGGTCATATTCAAGTCCATCAAGCAATGGCCTCTAATCCCTTAATAGTAGGTGCAGATGGGTTCATCTAAAGGAGATAACCCATCTCCCAAAGATTCTCTTTTTAAATGGATAGGCGTTTGCTGCCTCCATTTCTTCCAAACCTGTTTTTGATGATGTAGAGTGGAGGAGGGCATCAGCACTTCTTGGCAGACACTCATTTTCAGAGGTCAAGAAATACTGTGGCTTCAACAGCTCTGGTTAAACCTGCCAAGACCCTGTCCGTATCTGCCGGCATTTTCTTCTCAAAGTTGAAAAGAGAGGGGCTGCCTGATGCTATCCTGTGTTCCCAGCTGTTAGTGGACTGTTAGGGTCGGATCTGGGCCTTGGCAGCCCCGACATGCCAAGTAGGTGCAGCCATTTGTCCTCAATGGGTCAATTAGAGGGACCAGGGATAGTGAAGAGAAAAGGGAATTACTTGTGACCGCACTGGGGAGAGAACAAATAAGGGAATCTCATGACTCCCACATCATCTTTGGGGTCCCGGCACGGGGCTTAGGTTAAACAGAGGACAGGAGATTTCATCACTAAGCGGTCCTGGTCCAGGTGTGATTCAGTCGTCACTGATACATCCTTGTCTCAGCTCCAGTCTGCCCTGCAGTGTTGTCTGACGAGTCAGACTGGGTGAAATCTCTTCCCTGAAGACAAGTTCCTCCCTGACTGACACCTTTCCCTTCTTTCTGCTTGAGACTGAAGCGAAATTCCAGTTCCATGGGACTCATTGTTTCAATATCTGATGGCCAAAGGGAGAGACTCTAATGCCTGTCATCTTTAGAATATCTTCATTACTGCCTGGATAGTTACATTTCTTGGGGGAAAGAGCCTGGGTATTCCTGAATGCGAATGCACAAGGAACCCCAACATCCTCCACCCTACCCCACTCCCACCAGGCACGGGATGTGTGCCTCTGGAGCTCTTTCAGACTTGGCGTCTGCACGTGAGAGAGAGAACCAGGATTAGATACACCCGGCAGCAGCCATGCACAGTACTGTACCCCTACATCTGGTATACACAGAGTCTGTGTCACTGACCCTTGGTGTCAATCGCTTTGTCCCAGCTACTCCCCGCCGCTGTGGGCTTGCTAAGGACCTTTAGCTTGTTTCTGCTGCCATCTACTGTCAGTCTCGGGAAAGTCAAGGTTTGCCAGCTGGGGAGGGAAGTGGGAAATCGCAGCCTTTGCAACTTCTGCTCCCACAGAGGGAAAAACAAAACCTGCCAGCTGGTGGTGTCCCCAGTGAAAACTCTGTCATAAAACCTGTGTTTACTGACCTCCCAGGTTCCAAAGCAGTTCCATTTGAACTGTAATCAAGTGACCTTTCTGCCCCTGGGTCCCAGAGTCCCTGAAAGGGCCCGTTGTTTTCCCTGCCTGAGTGAAGAAAACTTCTGTTTAGTTAAGCAAGTGTTTTTGCAGTTATGTCTCCTACTAAGGGACAGAAGGACAATTGTTGGGTCTTGAGTTTATTGCTGGTTTTGTTTCGTACTCCCACTCTCTCTTCCCCAGAGTCCCACCTCTTCTTTACTTTCATATCAGCAAGGGAGCAGGGAACAAGACAAGCCACTCCACAGGGCCTTGCATTTCCTGTGCTGTACCTGCAGCTCTGCAGATCCTGCTATAAGCCCCTTCTTTCTGTCCCAAGCCACCAACCTCGAGAGCTAAGCCCCTCACAGTATGTCAGAGGCCCCCACAGAAACTGACCTGCAGGAGCTGATAGGCACTTGTGATGCTATGTTCATGTGATGTGTTTTCCTGTCTTACAGCTGTTTGTTGGGCTGGGATTTCCCTATGAGGGTCCAGCTCCCCTGGAGGCCATCGCAAATGGCTGTGCTTTCCTGAACCCCAAGTTCAACCCTCCCAAGAGCAGCAAAAACACAGATTTCTTCATTGGCAAGCCGACCCTGAGAGAGGTGAGCATCAGAAGTGTTCCTCTTTCTTCTATGCTTTTGTGTTTATGTGTGTGTGGCTGGGTGGCCTGTATGTGCGCATGTGCATGTGCAGGCATGTTTGTAGAGGCCAGAGGGTGAAGTGTGGGGTCTTCCTCCATCACTCGTCACTATATTCACTGAGGCAGAGTCTTTCAGTGAACTCAGAGCTCACTGATGTGAGTACTCCAGCTTGCCCTGGGGTCTCCTGCCTCCACCTCTTAGGCTCTGTGATTAAAAACTGGCTGCTATGCCCACCCTGTGCTGAGGACCCGTGCGTAGGCCCTCGCCTTTGTACAGCAGGCTCCTGTCTGCTGAGCCAACTTTCCAGCCCCTACCCCAATTCTCTTTTCAGTGACCATGGTGGGTGTTCTTTCTAGTCTTCCCATCACGGCTGACAGCTGGGATGGAGGAGGCCCCTGGGAACATTCACTGGCCTCTCCATTGCGCGTGGCGATGGTAAAGAAGAAACGCTGGCCAGTGACTCTTTACAGAGAATGTCAGCCACAGAGTGGGGGAGATGGACTAATCAATAAAGTGCTTGCCCTGCACATTAAATCCCCAGAACTCTGTAAAGAGCTAGGCATGGTAGCAGGCTCCTAGAACCCCAGAACCGAGGAAGCAGAGACAAGTGAGTCCCTGGGCTTCGCTGGCCAGCCAACCTAGTTTTCTTGGCGAGTCCCAAACTGATGAGAGACTATGTCTCAAGAAAACAAGGTAGGCAGTGCCGGAACAACAGCCAAGGTTGGCCTGTGACCTCTATAGGTTTGAGCGAGCATTTACACACACACACACACACACACACACAGAGAGAGAGAGAGAGAGAGAGAGAGAGAGAGAGAGAGAGAGAGAGAGAGAGAGAGAGAGAACATCAGAGTTAAGACAGCATAGTTGATGAGCAGGATATTCCTGAGATTTCAGCCCACCCTCAGCAGGCTGTCAAGCCATCCCCGCATAGCAAGAGCCTCTCACAGGAGCCTTGGCGCATTTGCCTTTGCAGATGCTCTTGAAACCTGCAGTGGGGTGATGAATCACCACGGAGCATCGCTGGGGTTCATTTGGGGCCATAAACAGAAGTCATTACAGCTCCGTGTGGGTGATCAGTGTGCCAAAGGTGGGATGATTCTGTATCTGGGCAGACACAGGTGTGTGCAGGAAACCATGAGATTGGCTTCTGTGTTATTTCTGGGCAGTTAGTGGCTCCCCTGGCTGCTCATGCATGGGGACATTAACGCGGAATCCCTCGGGGCCTTTGGCTGGAGAGTTAGGGCTGGAAAGGCCTAGTGTGACACAGCAGCTGCTGTTTCTAGAACATTCGTTTTCAGTTCTGTTGCTTTTTTAACCCTTTGGGACACTTCCTCGACTTGTCTTCCAAGCAGTACATCAAATGCGTTTCTCCCCTCCCTTCCCTCTGTTGGAGTCTTTATGAAATGACTATTTAGATACAGTGTCCTTTTTTGTTTGTTTTTGTTTTTAGAGACAGGGTCTCTCTGTGTAGCATTGGCTGTCCTGGAACTCGCTCTGTAGACCAGGCTGGCCTCCAGCTCACAGAGATTCACCTGCCTCCCAAGTGCTGGGATTACAGGCATGTACCACCACCACCCAATACTTTACCTATTTTTAAATGGGGGTTTGTTGATTTTTTTTTCTTTTGCTTTTGAGCGGTAGAAGTTCCTTAGATATTTAGGATATTAATCCTTTATCAGACATAATTTGCAAATATTTTCTTTTATTTGTTGGTTATTTCTCTTGATGTGTAAAACCTTTAAAGGTTGAAGCTGTGGAAATAGCTTTAGTGGGTAACGTGCTTGCCACACAAGCAGGATGACCTGCATTCAGACCCTAGAACACATGTTTGAAAACAAAGCAAACAAACATACCTAGGCACAGTAGCACTCACCTGTAATCCTAGAACTGTGGGGAAGGATATCAGATATTTACATTATGATTTGTAACAGTAGCAAAATTATAGTTATAAAGTAGCAATGAAATCGTCTTATGGTTGGGGGGCTCCCCCGCATGAATGGCATTAAAGGGTCACAGCATTAGTAATGCTGGAAACCAGGGATCTAGAAGGAACTGGGGAGATGCTCAGTGGTTAAAGCACTTGCTGCTCTTGCAGAAGACTGGAGTCAGTTCCCAGTGCCTACATCTAGTGGTTCATAAACTCCGGTTCTAGGGGATTCATGCCCTCTCTAGCCTCTTTGGGTACCAAGCATGTACCCAATACACACACACATATATATATATGCAGGTACTGACACAACACAACTGATAGACAGACAGACAGACAGACAGACAGACAGACAGACAGAGAGATTAATTCAAGCATGGTGGCTTATGCTACCAGCCTGGGGAGGCAGACAGAATCCCTTGACTTTACTGGCCAAGGAATTGGCAAGCTCCAGGTTCATTGAGAAATTCTGTCTCCAAAAGAAATGGTAAAGAATAAGCAAGAAAGCTCTCTCTCTCTCTCTCTCTCTCTCTCTCTCTCTCTCACACACACACACACACACACACACACACCCTTAGCAAATGGAAACGTTTTAAGCCAAAGTCACATACTGCCTCTGTGTCCCTTAGACACTTTCTGTTGAACGACCCTTCCCACACAAACACTGATTAAGGTCAGTTGTCTCTATTTCTCTTTGCCTTCACTTGAAGGAAAGGGGAAAAACTGAGATCTCTAAATTTGAGTTTAGCTTTGTTTTTATTTTTGCATCAGACCAAATTTTCAGAGTGCATTGTCTGTTCAGAGCAGGGAAGAAAGACTCCACATTGCCTTGAGGAGGGGAGTTGCTTCATTTGTACTTTATTATAAATTAGATTTTTATTTTTATATTGGGGAACATATTAATAGGTTCCTGTAAAGGGAGCGAGGAATCTCCTTGCAGGCTCTACAGAGGTTCTGAAGTCACCTCTCATATTTCCCATGATGCTGCTTGTCCGGAGGATGCTCAGTAAACCTACTGACAGATATACACTCAAGGAGCTGAGATCAGCGGTCCTCAATAAATTAACAAGGAGGAACACAGAGTTCTGAGAGGGCTTAATGAATCAAAAAGGCCTCACTCGTAAAATTAAGTAACCCTCATCAAATGCAAACGAATCAAACAGTAATGGCTCGCCATCCGCATTGTGTGTTTGCTAAGCGCCTGGAGCAGTCTTGTGAATAAGCAGGGGCCTTGAAAGAGGGGAGGGGAGGGCTGAGCCGAGCCTGCACCACCACGTAGATGACTCAGTGGTGACATTGCTGGTAATAGAAATTTTTGCAGTAGATGGACTAATTAGCTTGTCCTCTAGGCCACAAAGCGGAAATGATCTGACAGTCTGCCCATCCTCTCAAAAGGTCTAACATGGCAGAAACGCAGCCCTGCGATGGAGAGATATACATGTATGTGTAAATTTTAAGAGTGGTTTGAGGCTTTGTTCATTTTTTTTCTTAAGAATTTGGTGGTGTTCTCTGTTTGGTGGTTTGCTCAAAGACACTGAACTGGAACTGGGGAGACAGCTTGGTTGATGTAAAAGGCTTGGAGGACTTGATTCCGGCCTCAGAAGAGAGGTAAAAAGCTGGGTGTGGCTGTGAGCCTGTAATTCCAGTGCTAGAGGCAGCAACAAGCGGATCCCTGGACTCTTTGGTCAACCAGCCCAGGTTGATTCAGGAATGACACCCAAGATTGACTTCTGGCCACCACACTCATGTGCACACTCATACATACAAACACACACAAGCACATCCCCATAAAGCCGTTCAAGGGTCTAGATTTGAACTTGGCTTTGCTGTTTTCTAGTTATGTAGACTCCAAGAACCTTGGGATCCTTGTGATATATAGGAAGCCTAATAAATAATATATGGATTGGGGATCAGCTCAATGTCTGACCCCACCAAAGACCTTGTGGATTGGTATCGAATCAAAATATTTTATACAGAGATTTTTTTTAATTAGCAAATAAGGTTTCCATGACTCTGTGGGCCTGCAAACTCCTCAGCACTGACCACAGAGCCTGAGAAACGAGATGGGGGTTGGGAGGGCTGTGACAGGAGAGGGAGCTTGTGTACAACCAAGAAAGGCTGCAGCCTCAGGACTGCAAGGTCTTCAGATTTCCTGGAGACTTTCCCAGAGGCTTGTGCTCCTAGCTTCCTGCCCCAGACTGGACTGGCAGAGGCTGGTGTGATGAGGTTCCAAGGGCAGTGGCAAAGAGATGGCAGGTGCCACTTAGCCCTGTAGTTCTCCAAGTATCTATGTACTTGTGGAAATAGAAAGAAAGGGAAAAACAAGAAAGAGAAGCAGGCTGGCCTCAGAAGCCAAAGCCATAGCACTAGCATCAGCAATGGCAGCTCCTGTAGCGAATAGGTTAGGATGCGTTTCCCAGCTGCAGAGATTGGGCAGCGGGTGAGAGCCCTTGCTGAACAGGTACTATCTCCGGCTTTGGGTCCTGAGCACCAACATACAAGCCGAGCATTGCCTCCAGCACCTGCGCCAGGTGTGCTGGGTGATGGGGAACAGAGATCCCTGGGACTTGCTGGCCTGCCAGCCTAGCTAAAACCAGTGAGCACAGGTTCAGTATGAGACATGTCTCACATGAATAAGGCAGAGAGTGCAGTGGCACAGCCAGGCACCCAGTGTCTTCCCCTAGCCTTGGCACACACACAAGGACATGCTCCTGCACATACATTGCCCATACGGTTACATTCAGTAAATGAGTGACTGAGGGAACAAGTTAGTAAATTAATAAATAAAGAATAAATAAAACATATTTCCTCTCCAGAAATGAGATTTGCAAGTAATAGAACTTGCCTTTGTAGATCATTTTTTACATTTACAATATATATATAAAAGAAATATGTAAAAAACAATTTCTAGGAAAATAATATGCCTATTATTTCGTTCAGTATTATGTACTGGAAATTATAGACGATGGGATGTCTAGTTCCACCTTACAAGTGAACAGTTGTATTTAAAGGTATAAAATATTCATCTGTACACTGCCAGCCTTATTTTCTTATGTTTGCCATTATGAAAAGGGAGCTGAGTATAATCCATGTACACATCACACACGTTTATAGAACTGTGGGTAATGTGGCATCTAGCCATGGAGGCATGTTTTACTGGAGGGTAGTACCCAGGGGAACGCTGATGTTGCTGTGACGTTTTTCTGAAATGGTGACTGCTGATGGATGAAGTCTCGAATAAACCAGTAGAAGGCACAGGAGTGCCTGCCCAGCATGCAGGAGGCCTGGGCCCCTTCCCAGCACTGTGCAAACCAAGCTTGTCATCCGTCCTGCACTCTAGAGGTGGAGGTAGGAAGATCAGAATGTCAAGGTCATCTTCATTTACCTAATGAGTCAGAAGCTGCAGCCAGGACTGCATAAGATTTCATCTTAAAGAAAAAAAGGCATTTCTTGCTATATATAATGTACACTAATATTACAGTCCTGGACAATTCAACGTGCACACAGATGGCCTCTAAGAATTATCTTCCCTGAATTCACATGAAATCCCAGCAGGGCATATGAAAGGTCTCCAGGCTAGTGATCTAGGTGGTAAAGAACATGCTTAATGTATTCAGGGGCTCTATGTTCAGTCTCAATAGACAGCAAATAAATGATAACCAAACAAACAAACAAATAAAGTTCCTTGGGGGATGGAAAGTCCTCCTTGTGTACAGTGTCCTGATGCCATTGCCATGTGTCCCTGGTTCTCACCTGAAATATTTCGACAAACGTGTAAAAGGTTCTTGTTTATCCACTGCCTTAAAGAGGTAGAAGACCCCAGGAGGAAGCCAGGCACTCTACCAACTCCCCAGCCTCCTTTAGCCACACTTTTTTTTCACATTTATTCTTCAAGGAGGGAGAATCCATGTCCACAGTAGGAGGAGAGTCCGTGTCCACAGTAGGAGGAGAGTCCGTGTCCACAGTAGGAGGAGAGTCCGTGTCCACAGTAGGAGGACAGTCCGTGTCCACAGTAGGAGGACAGTCCGTGTCCACAGTAGGAGGACAGTCCGTGTCCACAGTAGGAGGAGAGTCCGTTTCCACACTCCACAGTAGGAGGACAGTCCGTGTCCACAGTAGGAGGAGAGTCCGTGTCCACAGTAGGAGGACAGTCCGTGTCCACAGTAGGAGGACAGTCCGTGTCCACAGTAGGAGGACAGTCCGTGTCCACAGTAGGAGGAGAGTCCGTGTCCACAGTAGGAGGAGAGTCCGTGTCCACAGTAGGAGGAGAGTCCGTGTCCACAGTAGGAGGACAGTCCGTGTCCACAGTCCACAGTAAGAGGACAGTCCGTGTCCACAGTAGGAGGACAGTCCGTGTCCACAGTAGGAGGAGAGTCCGTGTCCACAGTAGGAGGACAGTCCGTGTCCACAGTAGGAGGAGAGTCCGTGTCCACAGTAGGAGGAGAGTCCGTGTCCACAGTAGGAGGAGAGTCCGTGTCCACAGTAGGAGGAGAGTCCGTGTCCACAGTAGGAGGAGAGTCCGTGTCCACAGTAGGAGGAGAGTCCGTGTCCACAGTAGGAGGACAGTCCGTGTCCACAGTAGGAGGACAGTCCGTGTCCACAGTAGGAGGACAGTCCGTGTCCACAGTCCACAGTAGGAGGACAGTCCGTGTCCACAGTAGGAGGAGAGTCCGTGTCCACAGTAGGAGGACAGTCCGTGTCCACAGTAGGAGGAGAGTCCATGTCCACAGTAGGAGGACAGTCCGTGTCCACAGTAGGAGGAGAGTCCGTGTCCACAGTAGGAGGACAGTCCGTGTCCACAGTAGGAGGACAGTCCGTGTTCACAGTAGGAGGACAGTCCGTGTCCACAGTGGGAGGAGAGTCCGTGTCCACAGTAGGAGGAGAGTCCGTGTCCACAGTCCACAGTAGGAGGAGAGTCCGTGTCCACAGTAGGAGGAGAGTCCGTGTTCACAGTAGGAGGACAGTCCGTGTCCACAGTCCACAGTAGGAGGACAGTCCGTGTCCACAGTAGGAGGACAGTCCGTGTCCACAGTCCACAGTAGGAGGAGAGTCCGTGTCCACAGTAGGAGGACAGTCCGTGTCCACAGTAGGAGGAGAGTCCGTGTCCACAGTAGGAGGAGAGTCCGTGTCCACAGTAGGAGGAGAGTCCGTGTCCACAGTAGGAGGAGAGTCCGTGTCCACAGTAGGAGGACAGTCCGTGTCCACAGTAGGTGGAGAGTCCATGTCCACACTACACTTGTGGAGGTTAGGGAACAACTTCTGTGATCAGTCCTCTCCTGCCATGTGAGGATGAAACTTGAACCATCATCAGTCCAGACCCCAAGTGCCCCTTCCTACAGAGCGTCTCAGCTGTCCTAGCTACTTGACTCTTAAAACCATTAGGAAGGAGACTCACTCCTTCCTTTTCTGATTCTAAACTGCCTTTACAAACCTTGTTTTCTGGGGCTGGAGAAATGGCTGGGTGGTTAGGAACACATACTGCTCTGCTTCCTGACACCCATGTCAAGCAGCTCGTAACTGACTGCCTGTGAGTGGCTCCAGCGGCTCTCACAACTGTTTCTGGTCTCTGTAACTGTCTGCACACGTGCAGATATGCACATCGATGCACACACGCCCGTACGTTTTAAAGTCAGTGACCCTCATGTTCTGGTGTTGCTATGATTATCCCTGAAACCATCTGAAAACTCCTGAGTTCTCCAGTGGCACATTTTCTCCCGACATCACCCCTGTGTGCACTGTTCCTCGTGCCCGTGTGCTTTTCCCCCGGCAGGTTTGTCTGTTACTGGGTTTAACTGTATAGTCCCAGGCTGGCCGCAGATTTGTGGTTCCTATGCATACCTGCCAATTAAAGAAATCACAGGCATCCCTGGCTATGGCTTTGGTCTTTCTTTTGGTGTGTGTGTGTGGGGGGGGGTGCTTTGGTCCTTATTGTGATTTTCTGTGAATACCTGTCCATCCTAGCCCAGAGAATAGATACTAAATTTATGGAGGTAATTTTGGCTGAGAATAAGTAGTCCCTTAAGAGCCCAGGATAACTACAGAGGAGCGTTAGCTGCTGTTCTCATTTGTGTGACACATGAACTAACAAACGGCAGCCTAGGAAGAGATACTTTGGCTCACAGTTTGAGGATACAGTCCATCATGGCGGGGAAAGCATGGCGGCAGGAGCATGTTGCAGCTGGTCACATGGTCAGGAAGCAGGGAGATGGATGCTGTGCTCAGCTCACTTTCTCCTTTTTATTCAGTCTACTTGACCCATAGAACGGTGCTGTCCACATATGGGGGGCTCATCCCACCTTAATCAGCAAGATCTAACCACCTTACAGACTCCCTTATGTCTGGAGGTTGGGTCCTGTCAGGCTGACGAGCCCTATCAACCACCACAGAGGCTACAGGCCCTTGCTTAGTGACAGAGCACCACTCACTGTACACAGACCCTAGTTCGACCCAGCACCACCTGTAGGAGCCTCTTTGCTATGACATTGTTTTATTTCCAGTGAGCTTCAAAAGTTCCACCCATCACTATTTTTCTTTTATCTGCCTGTTTGTGGGTTAGAAGGTTTTGATTGCTACAGGAAGAACGGAAACGCTTTATCTCCTGTCTGAGTTCAGCTCGGCTCGTGAAGACAGCGTTTTGTCTAGCCTGGAGCTTTATCTGAGCAGTCCTGCGGATGTGAAACTAAGCTGCAGCATGTCCTCTGTCTTCCAGCTGACGTCTCAGCACCCGTACGCAGAAGTCTTCATCGGCCGCCCACACGTCTGGACCGTGGATCTCAGCAATCGAGAAGAAGTGGAGGATGCTGTGAAAGCCATCTTAAACCAGAAGGTTGCTGCCCTGCCTTTGTTAGACCCGTAACCTAGAACTCGTGCAGAATGTTGCGGTCTCTTGCTTTCAGTAAGCAGAGCTTGCCACCTGAATTAGACTCAGACCATAGTCTAGCCATAGCATCTGGCCTGAGGATCTCAAGGAGGCTCTGTGAGACTCGACACAGCTGGTGGCAGATGTGGGTTTGGGTCTTATTGACCCTGCTGATGGGCCTTCTGGGTTCCTGGGTTCTAGGCATGAAGGGCGTGGCTTGACTCGTACTTACTCATATGATCTAAGCATGTCCTTGGAGAGATTTGCAAAATTAGGCTGCTTATGTTGCCTTATACAAACAGTAAAGTTTGTAAAATTATTTTGTTTTAGTGGTGGTGGTGGTGGTGGTGGTGGTGGTGGTGGTGGTGGTGGTAGGTTTTATATGTGTGTTTGCGCATGTTCCTATGGACACGGGGGCTTACACATGTGCCTTTTGACGCTCCACTTCCTTTTTTTTTCTTGAGGCATGGTCTTTCACTAAACCTAAAGCTCATTGATTTGGCCTTGCAGGCTGGCCAGTAAGCCCCAGGGATCCGCCTGTCTCCACCCCCAGCACCAAGATTATAGACATGCCCCTCCCACCCGGTTTTCACATGCATGCTGCAGATCTGAACTCAGTCCTCAGGTCTACACAGGAAGCAGCCGAGCCATCTCCCCAGTCCTGTAGTTTTCTACAGTGTTTGCTGTTTATCTTTTCTACCTGAGCATTAGGTAGAATCTTTTTGACATCACCATTCTAGATCTTTCTGATCAATCCAGTAGGAACTGATCAAGCACCTGTTATGTGCAGGGCCCCCTATAAGCTGTTCTAGGAAGGTAAGAGATGGCTACCTCCACCCTAGATGAGGCTGACCACCCTGTGGGAAGTCTACCTCCTAGAGGACTTTAGTTTGCCCAGGACTGCTGTGGAAGCTCTGAGGCACATCCTGCCCTGTGCTTCTCCTCTCTAGCACCTTTCCCTTGGTTATTACCTGTTGGTCTATGTGTGCTGTGAGCAGATGGGTAAGGGCCGGCTCAAGAAGAAGCTCCTGAAGGTGGTTCTTTGTCCTGTCACCAACAGCGCTCCATCTAGACGGACAGCTGGTGACTCCTCTCACATGAGGTCTCCACTTCCCTTGCGTGTGGCCTGGAGACACTGCTGTCTGTGTGTCAGTTGATGCAGTGTAGCCCAGTGCCACCCCTCCTGTCTCCCCCTCAGATGTCTCAGCGGCCATCAGAATGTTTTCCTTACCCCATGACTTTCCTAGGGTTTCCTGTCCTCCTCCCCAGACGGTGTAAGCCCCTGTATAGAAACCACAAGCTTTTGTGATACTGCACATCCTGCTGTACCTTGTCTACCAGCTCCCAGTCCTGAGCTTTGTCTTTTCATGTCTTAGTTCACACTCTGGCTTAGGGATGCAGCTCAGTTGAAAGAATACATGTCTAGCATGCACAAAGTGCTGGGATCCATCCCCAGTACCAAATAACCCAGAAATGGTAGCACATGTCTGATTCCTGCACCCAAGAGGTGGAGATGAGAGGATCAGAGTTCAGGGTCACTCGCCTACACAGTAAGGCCACCAGCCTATGCTATATAAGACCTTGTCTCAAGGAAAAAAAAAATCTCAGCCCTCCCGGGGCCACTAGCTGAGTTCCTTGATTGTAGCACTTGGTCCCCTTGCTTTTGCAGCAGGAGTTCTTCAGATACATTCTCACCTCATCTACTACAGACCAGTCATTTCTCCCTGCCTTCCCCAGAGCAGTGAGCACATGTTCATTCTGCAGATGTTGGCTAAATTCCCCGCCCTCAGTGCAGTCTGCCTAGCCCTGAGAGGCTGGTGAACCACAGCCATTGTCTGTACTCCCCACTGTCTACCTGCTAGCACGTGATAACGTCCACCTTTTTGAAGGCCTGCTATGTACTTTGCACTAACCAGGCAGTTTCCCACCATGTACCTCACCTCAGCTTAACAGAGACGGGTTTTCCTCCTTGCCGCTCTTTCACACATCGGGTACCTGCCATTTAGGGAAGATAGATTGTTCAGGGTCTAAAGAAGAACACAGCAAGGCCTGAGCGCTGTCTGTCCAGTTCCAGGTGTGCAGCTCTAACACCTGCCAGGGCTCCCACTCAGGGGTGGGCATCTGTGTGAGTCAGTGGAGAGTCAGTAAGTGCCTCGTGTCCCGTGTCGCCTTTCACGGTGCCCTGTTGTTTCTGCAGATTGAGCCATATATGCCGTATGAGTTCACGTGTGAAGGGATGCTTCAGAGAATCAACGCGTTCATAGAAAAGCAGGTAAGGCCCACCAGATGTCTGTCTGTCCTTTCTGCGTTCCACTTCCTCTTTCCCAGCTCTCACCTGGAGCCCTTCTCTGGCTATTTCCCTGCTTTGGAAAACGCCCAGCGGCTCCATGATGACTTATTGTCGTTTTTAATGTTTCACTGACATTCACGGTCTCCCCACAGGCCAGTCTTCCTTGGAGTATTGACAATGAAAGGTCATACGGACACTTAGAATAAGGCAATAAGGTGTTTGAGTGGTCAAGACGGGGTCCTCCCTGACCAGCCTGTACCCTGAGTTTCAGAATGTCATAAGCACTCAAGAAGGGTGAAGAACAGACAAGCGGCTCTCTGTCCACCCTTGATTTCTAACTCCTCATCCCTAATCCCCCCTTAAAATAAAAGCAAGGATTAGGGTCTGGAAAGATAGCCTAGTCAGTGAAGCGCTTGCCTTACAAGTGTGAGGATCTGAATTGATTACCAGAAATTACATTTAAAAAGCCATGCATGAATTATAATTATAATCACAATGCAAGGGGAGTGGAGACAGACAAACCCCTAGGGTTCGCTGGCCAGCCAGCCTATCCGAGTTGAGGTGCTTCAGACCAGTGAGAGACTGTCTTAAAAACAAGCAGAGCATGAGTAATGGCCTCTGACCTTGCCCTCTGACCTCCATGTTCACGTGTGTATGCATCTATACACACATGAATACTCATACATGCAGGGATCAAATCTACATTTTTGAAGCATTTCCTTAAGAGCATAAATACAGCAACTCTAAACATGTTAGGACTCTTGAGTGGTTTTTGAACTGGGTCTCCTTCTAAAGAATCCTTCTGTGAAGCCCAGGCATGTGCTCTCAGAGGTGGAGGGGCAACTGCCATTGCAATCCTTTATGATGTTTTAATTTCTTGGACTTCAGAAGCAACATGGACCCAGAAATAGACAAAAGCCAGACCCCCTGTCGGTAAGGGAATCTGAACTTCTTGCCCAGTCCAGACACAGGGGGTCCTCTTTATAGGGCAAAACAATGTTTAAGGGTGAACAAGGAATCTTTGCACAATGGGGATAAGAGCAGTTGAGCTGAAAATAGGAAGAGAAGGGGAGAAACATAAATGTAGGCTACCAGCCCAGGAGGCAGGGAACCTGAGATGGGTGAGTTGACGTGCATGTGTGTGTACAGGTGCCTGCGCACATTTGCAAGTGTGCACGCTCACATATATGCGAGCATGCATGCATGCTTATATATGCAGGTGCACACGGCATGTGCACACATACGTGTAGAAGGCAAAGGACCACCTCAGGTGTCATTCCTTAGGTTCTGATCCATATGTGTCCATATCCTTGCTGCTGGGATTATCAGCACTGACTGCCAAGTCCGGCTTTTCCCTTGAACTTGGGTCCTCGTGCTTGCACAACAAACGTTTTAGCAACTGAATCATCACCCAGGTCCAGCCTCCTGGGTCCAACTCCCCGTACCATGAGTTTTTGTTTCTAGGAATTGAATATTTGTTACTTATGCTCTCTGTGCCTTAGAAAAGAAGTAAAAAGAAAAATGCTGGGAGGGAAATGGGAGGCTGGGAGGACGCGGATACTTTTTTTTCCTTTTCTCAATAAAAAAAAAATTAAAAAAAAAAAAGAAAAGAAAAATGCTCCTGAGAGCATTGCATGAGCAGTACCCAGGAAGTGCTGAGAGTAAGGTCTGACCCCGTGCTTAGGGAGAGCAGGTTAACCAGCATTGTTTAACATGCTGTGCTCTATGTGGTGTCTCGTGATATAATGATGCACACGGGGAGCTCAGCGCTTGTCATTGTCCCATTCATCACAGGACACAGAAAGAACCAAAGTGTCATAGCTCTGGCACCAGCTGTACCAGTGAGCACTCACCCATGTGTGCGCCACCTCCCCAGCCATGGGTTCCCTTTCCAAGGGATGGTTTCCATATTAATCAGGATCCCAGAGTACGACGTGGGAAATATCTGTTCAGTATGAGAAAATGTTTTGCAAGAGGAAGAAACTGTCCTCATCGTGTTGATTGCGGCAGACTGTTGCAATGTTCTGCTTTAGTTTTAGCTACTGCTCTCCTGTCATGGCTAATTTAGCTTCATCACGGGTGCAGGGCAGGGAGGGGAGGATGGGTTTGGTACTCTGCACAGTTGCGGGCTTCTACTGCTGACTTTTTCATCTTGCTAAGATACAGGGTGTGTTAGTGGCTTTTCTCATTACCGCAACAAAATCCCCGATGAGAGCAGTTTTTGATGGAGGAAGGGTTTTATTTTGGCTCACAGCTCAAGGGTATGGTTTGTCATGGTGGGGTCTGGTAGACGTGGCGGCAGAAGTATGAAGCAGCTGGTCACATTCCATCCATGGTCAGAAGCAGAGAGGATGAGTACTAGTCTCCTTTTTATTTAGTCCAGGACTCCAGCCCATAAGATGCTGGTGCTCACATGGAAAGTGGGTTTTCCTACCTCAGTTTACCCAGTCCTCTCTCACAGACATGCCCAGAGATTTGTCTTCTAGGTGAGTCTAGATCCTGCCAAGTTGACAATATTGACCATCATGGGGCAGGATCTATATACTCTTTCGATCCACACAGTAAGGCTCAGGATGTGTCGGGATTAACTGCATGTTGGGAACTGAGCACAACCAGGATTTGTTGAAGATTTGGTGTAAAGCCCTGTGATGCAGGTGTCCCATAGCTTGGCTTCCCCAGTGCTAGGATTATACTTTTTTAAGTGGGTTCTGGTGACCACACTCAGATTCTCATGCTTGTGAGGCAGGTACTCCACTAAGTGAACCATCTCTGGGCAATTTTTTATAAGACATCCTCCGAATTCCTCATAAATGAGCAATGACAGGGGCTATTTTTAGTTTATCTCAGAAACTCTTTCAGACACCAAATGTTTCCTGGGTGCACAATAAAATCCAAGACCCCTTTGGATCAGATCAAGTCTTCTTTTAGCTGCAGGCCTTGGATCTTAGAGCTTGGAGTGTTCATTATATTTTTAGAGTTTGGAGAGTATCTTCAAAGAGCAGCAAGGACGGAGAGAGGGTGCTCCTGGCGGTGGCGGGGAGCCTGGGGCTTGGAGGAGAAGGCTCCCACACTGGAGCCTTTATTAGTGGGGGCTCAGCTTCCAGAGTCCACCATGTGGGCTACATGGAACATGGGCACCTTTATCCCAGGACCCTTTCAAGATTTCCCCCCACCACACACACAGTTCCCCACAGCTGCAGGAACCAGATGAGGCTAAACTGACAGTCTTTAAGATTACCCCAGGTTTCAAGGTACAGTTAGGAGTCACTGCTGGAAGCCTACCTCACACCCAGCCTGCTGGGGTGCAAGCCCTCTTCCCATGGGAGGAAGATCCTTGCTCTTCTCCATCCCTGACCTGTCCCACTACACTGAAACCATTGTTATGGCTTTGAAATGTTGTCATTGTCTTTGAAATGAGCACTCAGAAGGGGAGTGACTCCACCTGATAGGGAGTTAGCACGAGTCCCCAGTGATAGAAGATGAGTTGTGACTCTTCCCCCTCCGAGTGTGTCCAGGCTTGTGAAGGTTCCCATTCTGCATTGTTTGGGGAAGTCACTGATTTACCTCCAGGGGGAACGAAGCAGCGAGAGAAGGGAAACTCATTTTCTGCTTCCTATAAAGATCTAATATACAGAGTGTGGCCAGAACAGTGGTTCATTTGGTGAGGAGATTCTTGCTTCCAACCTTAGCAACCTGAGTTGATCCGGCTGATGGAAGGAGATGATAGACTTCCACACATGACAATTAAATATGCACAAAATAAAACTAACTTTAAAAAAATGTTTAAATGCATATACAGGGTAGTCGGTCACAATTACATTGTTATTTGGTTTGAGACAGCATCTCATGCATCCCAGGCTGGCCTTGAACTTGTTATGTGGACAAGAATGACCTCGAACTCCTGGTCCTCCTGTGTTTTCACAAATTTTGGGGTTGCAGGTGTGTTACACCGTGCCCCTATTTATGCATTGCTAGGATGGAATCCAGGGCTTTGTGTACATTTGACAGGCTCTGTACCAGCTCAGCCCACCCCACCAAGATGTGCTTAACAAGAACTGTCTGGTCACATGCAAAGCATTATGAGGATACAGACAGGTGCAGCCAACCCCACTGCACAGCCAGCCCCACTCCCACAGCAGCAGCAGAATCAGCTCAAGCTCCCAGATTGTCTTGAATTCCCTGGGGAGTGTTCCAGAAACAAAGATAAGACCTTGGTTGACTCTGGAGAGGACTGGGGTTGGGCCAGCAGGGTGGTGATGGGAAAAAGGCTCACAAAGAGGTGAAAGAGGACACTGGCTAACAGTGAAAGTTGCTGGTGACCCTGCTCCCTGCTGTGTTGGCACTAGTAAGCAGGGCCTGAGTTCACAGCCTGCATCAGACTGCCTACTACGTCTTCTCTGAAACAGTGCCGATACCACCTTCCCACTGTGTAGGGTTGGCAGATACACGGTTAAGGCTAAGCTACGTGTCTGACCTGGTAGCTCTTCTTTTGTTCGGAACCCAGAAAACAGCATCCAGCAGTAAAGAGGCTAAAGCAAGAGGCTCTTGTACTTGGGGCCACAAGATTCCATGTCCCTAAGAACAAAACAAAAATTAAATCTAGGAATCTTTTGTTCAAAATACTTCCTACAAAACACCATGTAAGCTATCCTAAATGATCAATATAGGGACTGTTTTCAATTTACAGACATAATTTATAGAGCATAAAACCCAATTCAGGGCCAGCAAGATGGCTCAGCAGGGAAAGGTTTTGCTTCCAAACCTAACTACATGTCTTAGTTAGGTCAGGGGTTCTGTTGCCGCAGTGAAACACCATGTCTGAAAAGCAAATGGGGAGGAAAGGTTTGTTCAGATTTTGCTTCCACATTGTAGTCCGTCATTGAAGGGAGCCAGCACAGGAGCTCAAACAGCAAGAACCTGGATGTAGGAGCTGATGCAGAGGTTGTGGAGGGGTTCTCCATGCTGGCTTGTTCCCCATTGCT